CCTGTGCTATGCAGTTCTCTGCCATTCTATACTTTGCCATGCTGTGCCATGCCATGCCGTGCCATTCTCTTCCATTCCATACCATGCCATGCTATGCCATTCCATTCCATACCATGCCATACTGTGCTGTGCCGTGAAGTGCCACTCTGTGCCATGGCATCCCACACTATGCTGTCCCATTTCATCCCGTGCCGTGCCATGCTGTGCTGTTCTATGCATGCCATTCCATTTTGTTCCATGCCATTCCATTCCATGCTGCACCATCCACATTCCCATGTCCCACATCCCCACTGCCAGCATCCAGCTGCCAGCGTCCTCATCACCATCACCAGCATCCGGAGCACCCCATGTTCTATGCCTGTGCAAACCCTGGGGTGTGACATGTGGCCAGTTCGATGCCACCAGCTGCCTGGCACCACCTTGTCACTGGGAGCTTCTGGCTGGGAAGAGAACGGGAATTATTCCATGCTCCTTCCCTTGGGTGACCTCTGCAGTCAGGATGTACGCTCCATTACCCGGAATACCAGATTTATTCCAGGGGCTTGGCGACACCATTGTTATAACTGGGTGATGATGGGACTTAATGAGTGCTTGGAGTGGGGAGACTAGTACCCAGCACCCACTGAAATGGGACACACATCCATAGGGATGCAGGAGCCCATGGAGCATCCCAGAATGGGGATCAGGGCTCCAGTGGGAGCCTAGGGGTCACGGATGGGTCTCTGTCACCAAATGCTCACTGTGGGGCTCATGATAACGTCCCTGTCTATCCACCCTATACATGTGAGGCTGGACCCGACTTCACCCCATATGAGGGTAACTCCAGGGGTCCGAGCAGCCCACGAGGCAGGTTATTCCCAGATGATTTCCGGTTTTCCAGCCCTGTAGCCCACATCTCTGTGTTGCTGTGATGGTTTAGTGAGAGGCTCCAGCTGCTGCGTCAGCAGCTTCACTGGAGCACGGTGCCGAGCTGGGAGAGGCAGGAGCTGCTCTGAGGAACCAGGGCAGGCTGCGGCCCATGGGTGAGGAGCATTCCCTGAGGATCCCCACAGCATTCCCTAAGGGTACCCTAAGTATCCCCATAAAAACCCCTAAGTATTCCTGAGTATCCTCTGAGCATCCCCTGAGCATCATCTTAACAACCCCTGAGCATTCCCTGAGTAACTCATGAACATCCCCTGAGCATCCAGGCACCAGCACATTGCCATGACCCAAGGGTCCATCCTACGGCCATGCCACCTCTGTCTCCTCCTGGGGATGGGGACAGTGGGAGTGTGGAGTATGGCACAGGATGGCACGGGAATGCATTGGGTGGGAGAGACACCCCCTTCCTTTGCCAGGTACCGTGCCTCAGTTTGCCCACCCGAGCAGGGATGGTGCCATAGCCCCCGGCACGGTGTTGGAGCATTGGTGGCTGCCGTGGTCATCTCTTGGCTTCCTGTTTCGGGGTCCCCATGTTGGCCATGGGGTCTCCATGTTGGCCAAGGTGCCCCCAAGCTCCGGTTGGCAATAGGGGGGTCATTGTCTTCCCTGTGTACCTCTTGGCACCCTGGCAACCCTCTGTGGTGGCAACCGCTGCACCAATCCCAGCTTGAGCTTCCTGGTCCTTTTGGGTTACCAGACAGCCACTGGAATTTCTTAAGCCTGGAATTCAATGGGGATTTTTGATTGCGTTCTGGTGATTCGCACTTGATATTCCTGGGTGTTCCACTGCAGTGTGAACGTCCTTTGTCCGGGAGCATCCCAAACTCACCAGCACCAACCGGCACCTCACGGAGCTGAAGCAATAGGGATAATGACTGGGAATGCTGGGTCGGGATGTGTCATGGAGCCCCTGGCACTAGGGTGGCTGCATAGTGACACTGGGACAAGGGACCCCTCTGTTGCCACTGTAGAGCCCTGGGATATGGAGAGGGGCCAGGGAGTAGTAGGAGCTGATGATGACCCTCCCACTGCATCCCACCACATCCCATCGCATCCTATTACCTCCCACTACATCCCATTGCATCCCATCACATCCCACTACATCCTATTGCATCCCATAATGTCGCAGTGCATCCCATCGCATCCCATCCTGTCCCATTGCATCCCACTGATCCAGCTACATCTCACTGCATCCCTTTGAATCCCACTGCATCACATGGCATTCCACTGCATTCCACCACATCCAGTCGCATCCCACTGCCTTCCACTGCATTGCATAGCATCCCATTGAATCCCATTGCATCCCTTTGCATCCCATTGCATCCCACCACATCCCAATCCCGTCACATCCAATGCATCCTATCACATCCCACTACATCTCACTGCATCAGACTGCATTCACTGCATCCCATCATATCCCACGAGACCCATTGCATTCCATCACATAGCACTACATCCCACTGCATCCCACCGCATCGCATTGCATCCCACCACAGCCAGTAGCATCCCACTGCATCCCATTGAATCCCATCACATCCCCACGCATCCCACTGAATCCACTGCATCCCACTGCATTAGACTGCATCCCATTGCATCCTATCACATCCCACTGCATCCCGCTGCATCCAGCTGCATCTCACTGCATACATTGAATCCCACTACAACCCACTGCATCCTATCACATCCAGTCACATCCAAACACATCCCTTTGCATCCCACTACATCCTGTTGGATCCCACTGCATCCCATCACATTCCACAGCATCCCACTGCATCCCACCACACCCACTGCATCCCACCACATCCCAAGCATCCCATTCGCATCCCACTGCATCTCACTGCGTCCCATTGCATTCCATTGCACTGCAGCCTCCCTGCTCACACTGAAGCCTCCTTACAGCGATGCCACCCCCAGGGACACCCCTGTGCCTGCTACCAGCACCCAGGGCACCCAATATTCCCAACACTGGCACTCAGGGCCCCCTGTGTCCCTGCACACTCTGGGGTCCCCATGTTCCCACTGCCAGCACCCGGGTGTCTCCATGTCCTCGCACAGCCAGGAGTCCCCATGGACCCACCACTGGCACCCAGGCACCCCATGGCACTGCTGCTGGCACCCACAGGTCCCAGATTCCCCATCACAGCACCCAGAGCATCCCACACTTCCATCCGCATCACCTAGAGCACCGCAATGTCCGCATCACCAGCACCCAGAACATCCCATCTCCCCACTGCTATTACCCAGAGCACCCCATGTCTCCACCACCAGCACCCAAAGCACCCGATATCCCCATCACCCAGAGCACCAAATACCTCCACTGCCAGTATTCAGAGCACCCCCTGTCCCCATCACCAGCATTCAGGACTCACAATATCCCCAGCACCCAGAGCACCCCATGTCCCAGCTGCCAGCACCCAGAGCACCCCCTATCCCCATCACCAAGAGCACCCAATATCTCCACCGCCAGTACTCAGAGCACACCATGTCGCTGTCACCAGGGCACCCCATGTCCCCATTACCAGCATCCAGGATACCCAGTATCCCCAGCACCCAGAGTACCCCATGTCCCAGCTGCCAGCACCCAGAGCACCCAATATCTCCACTATCAGCACTGAGAACACCCCATGGCCTCATCACCAGCACCCAGGACTCCCAATATCGCTATCTCCATCACTCAGAGCACTCCCTGCCCCCACACATGATGTCCCATGTCCCCACCGTACTGCCAGGGTCACCTCCATCCCATCCCCTTCCCACCCCCCTGCGTTACCACCTGATTCATTCCCGGCTCCCTCCTCCTCCTTCCACGGCAAATTCCCATTTCCCAGCCGTAACCCATGGGATAATGACCCTGGGCACCCCCTTTGCACCCTTGCTTCGGGGGGGGGGGGGTACGACAACACCAGCCCTTAGCTGGGTGATGCCAGGGGTCCCTTTGGGTACCAGTGTAGGTACCAGTTCCCAGCATCACTTCCTCCCTGTTTGGGACCGCTTTGTGGGGAAGCGTTTCAACCCATACAGCACAACCCCCCCTTTTGGCAGGGATGTGGGGGGGTCCCAGCATCCACACACACACACCCCCCCCCTTTTAACCCCTCGGGGACAACAGCAGGTACAAAGAGTGAACAATATTTATTAAAATACAAAAATACACTTGGTTTTTGGACGGATTTGTCGTGGTTTTTCCTCAGTTCAGGATACAATCCCATCATTCCGGCCTTTATATAGATATAGATATAGATATAACCTCTGTTTAACCCCCCCCTCCCCACGCAGCCCCCCCTCACCCCCCCACCCCATTATTTAATTCCCATCTGATAATTCATTTTAAAGCTAAAATAAGAAATTAAAGTTAATTCCAATAGTCGAGCGGCCAGGGGGGGGCCCATTGCCGTGACCCCCCCCAAAACACCCCCCCAGCCCTTCAGGACCCCCACGAGGCACTTGCCGTCCCCGCTGGGACCCCCCCCCAGTAGCCACCTCCAATGCTGGTGGCCACCCCCCCATTAGCCACATTGAGTCCCTCCCCCCGACCCCCCCAAGCCCTTAATTCCTCCTGGATCCCCCCCTTCATTCCATAAGCAGCCCATGGGGGGGGGTCCCCAGTCTCAACCCCCCCCCCACTCAAAGAAGGGGTTTTGGGGGGGGTCCCCTAAAATGAGGCCAAAATCGTGTTGTGGGAGGTGTCTACAATCATATGTCAGGTCTCCCAATGGGGGCCCCCCCCGGTCCCCCCAGGAGCTTTAGCCCTGTGCCGATGCCGGTGCCAGTGGCCTTGTACTGGTGCAATGGGGTGAACTGGGGGGGGGGGTGGGGCACCCATCAGACACCCCCCCCATGCACCCACACACTTGAACTGGGGGGCGGGGAGCCCCCTTTTTGGGGTCATTTTTTGCTTTAATACATTGCAGGCAGCCAAACCCCCCCAAAAAAATTCCCACCACCCCCAAAATACCCCAAGCCCCCCCCCCAGATACCCCACCCCACCCCCCCCCAAATTCCTTTATTGCATGTGGAAGATTTTGGCACAACCTCCAGCCACCATCCCAGCACATGGGGAGTTGGGGGGGTCCTGCTGCATCCAACCCCCCTTTTCATCCCCAACACCCCCATTCCAAGCCCAGTCCCACCCCAGTGGCCTCCTGTCCCCAGCTTCTTCCTGGATAACGGGAATTCTTTCCTCTCCCTTTTCTCTTGGAGTTAGAAACTGTGACTTGGGGGGGGGGGGGGGGGGGGGGGGGCGTGATTTTAATATCTGCTGCTCTTCTCAGCCTGTGGATTTCGGATAGAAGCATGTACAAGAAAAGAAAAGTCTCTCCCCCAGCTCTGTACAAGAGTCACCTTCTAGATTTGGGGGGTTCTTCATTTGTGGGGGTCTTTTGGGGGGGTCTTTGTGGGGGGGGGGGGGTTGTGCATCCTATTGCGTTTGTGATGGGGGAGGAGGAGGAGGAAAAAGGGGAGGGGTGGGAGGAAGCTCAACCCAAAAAAGCCCCAAAGAACTAAAAAGTCATATCTGGGTCTCCTGGACTTTGTCCTTGGGGTGGGTTTGGATGATGTAGGGTTCCATAAGGGTGCTCCCGGGGGGGTGCAAGGAGTTGCCCAAGTTGTTCTCGGTCCAATGGGCCCCATGCGGTGCTTTGTAGGTGTTGTAGTTCATGTGGTCATGAACAGCGGGCAGCACCACAGCCCCCTCACCTGCAATGCCGGCGGTGGTGGTGGTCACCATGGTGGCAGTGGTGGTGGTGGTGGCGGCCGGGATGTCCTCGTCTACCTGGATGATCTCCACGGTGCGCGCGGCCGACACGGTGCTGCGCTGCTGGTGCCTCTTGCGGAGCTTGTAGAAGACAATGAGCATGGCCGCAGCCAAGAGCGTCACCGCCACGAAGCAGCCGATGATGATCTTGGTGGTCTTCATCACCTCGTCCAAGCTGGTCTGCGTCTTGTCGCCCGCGTCGGCGGTGGGGATGGCGACCTGCTTGGGTGGGCGTGTGGTCTGCACCAGGACGGTGGTGGTGGTGGTGTACGCTGGTTGGTAACCCGTCGACGTGGTGGGGACGGGCTTGGTGAACTTAGGGGAGATGTCCTCCGGGGAGATCTCAGTGGTCTCCACTGTGACGGTGGTGAAGAAGCTGTAGTTGGAGGTGTTGAGCTCGGCCGTGCTCACGTTGAGGTAGGCCGAGGCATTGGAGTTCCCCGCCACGTTGGTCACCATGCAGGTGTAAACCCCAGTGTCCGTCAGCAGGACGTGGGAGAAGTTCAAGGTGCCGTCATTGAGGACAGAGATGCGCGGGTGGTTGGACGCGTGGCTCAGCACCGTCCCGTTAGGCAGCAACCACCTAACGGAGGACATGGAAGGAGTTCGGCACTTGAGCTCGGCCACCCGCCCCTCGGAGATGTTGAGGTCCATGGGCGCGTCCATGATGAAGGGCGCCGAGCACTGGAAGGAGGTTTGGTCCACCTCCACCAGGAACCGGCCCCGCATGTGGAGCGGGGCATGGCAGCGCCCACAGCACGTCGAGTTGGTGGGGATGTACTCCCTCAACCACCACGACAGCCAGAGGATGTCGCAGTCGCAGTCCCAAGGGTTGTGGTGAAGGTGAAGCTCCACCAGGTACCGCAGAGGGGCGAAGAGGTCATGGGGCAGGGAGGAGAGGTTGTTGTGGGCCAGGTTGAGCTCCACCAGCGCCGTCAGGTCGTCGAAGGCATTGCGCTCAATCAGGTTGATCTGCGAGTTCATAATCCAGAGCTTTTTGAGGGACTTGAGCCCGTGGAAGGAGCCCGGTTTGATCTCGGGGAAGTTATTGCCCGACATCTCCAGCTCCTCCAGCCCCACTAAGGGCGTCAGGTTGGGCATGTCCTTGATGTTGCACATCCCCAGGTTGAGGTACTTGAGGTTGTACAAGCCCTCGAAAGCCCCCTCAGAGATGTACTCCAGCTTCTTGAGCTCGCCCAGGTCCAGGCGCATGAGGGAGGGCACCCGGTTGAAGGCGTACGAGGGGATGCTCTCGATGGGGTTGTTCCTCAACCACAGCTCCCTCAGCTTGGACAGGTACTCAAAGGCCCCGCTGGGGATGACGGTTAACCAGTTGTCAAAGAGCTCCAAGGTGTTGAGACTGGCCAACCCGTTGAAAGCCCCAACCTCGATCTGCCGGATGGCGTTCCTGCCCAACTGCAGGACCTCCAGGTGATGCAGGTGGCGGAACGTGTCCGCCTGGATCATCTGGATGTTGTTCTCCATCAGGTTGAGGTACCGGGTGTTGGAGGGGATGCCGGGGGGCACCTCGGCCAAGCCGCGCCGGGTGCACACCACTTTGCTCAACTGGTTACTGCAGGAGCAAACCGAGGGGCAAGCGGGGGCTCCAGGGGAGGCGGCAGCGGTGGCAACGGCCACGTAGAGGATCCAGGCGTGCACCGTCAAGTAGGAGATGAGAGCAGCTCTCCAGGCACGGCAGCGGCGGTGGCGGTGGTGGTGGTGATGGTGCACAGTTACCTGCCACAAGAGCTTCATGGTGTGGCACGTTCATCATTCACCATCATCTGGGGATGGCGGCGTCCTAAGGAAGAAGTGGCTCAGGGCCCCCCCCTGCTCCCGGCCCGGCTGGATGGAGGGATGGATGGATGGGGGGGGGGGGGGGGGGGGGAGAGAGAAAAAGGGGTGAAAAACGTGGGTTTAGCCCCCCAAAAGGGTCTAAAAATGCTGCGTGAGGGGCGGGGGGGGCCCTGGCGAGCCCCCTCCCAGCCCGACCTACCTGGGCAAAGGGGATCCGGGACGGGGGGGGGGGGACACAAAATGGCTCCTGGAGGCTGGGGGGGGGGGCGGCCCGGCTAAGCGGGGGCCCGGCACCCCCCCGGCGCGGCCCGCGCCCCGCACCCGCCGCCCCGGAGCCCGGCCCGCGCCCCCCGGGGGCCCGGCATGGGGACGGGAATGGGAACGGGAAGGGGGTTGAGAACGGGGGGGAAATGGGGGAGACGGGGAGAGGAAGCAGGGGGGAAGGGGGAGGGAAGGGGGATCAGGAAGGGAGCAGGGAATGGGGAGAGGAATGAAAATAGGGGAGAGGAGAAAAGGAGAATGAAATGTGAAAATGAGAATGGGAAAGGGGGGAAAATGGAAAATGAAAATGGAAAACGAAAAGAAAAATATAAAAATAAGAATAAAAAATAATAAAAATTAAAAATAGAAATTAAGATAAAAAATGAAAATAAAAATATCAATAAAAATAAAAATTTAAAGGAAAAATAAAGACTAAAAGAAAAATAAACTAAAAAATGAAAGAATAAATACAAAAAAGAGGAAAAGAAAAAATAGAAATAAAGAAAAATGAAAGAAAAGGTTAAAAATAAAAAATTTAAAAAAGGAAAATAAGGAATAAAACTGGAAAAAGGAACGATTAAAATAACAAGAGAAATAGAAAAAATAATAAAAATAAAATCTAAAATAAGGAATAAAAATAAAATTAAATAAAAATGAAATTAAATAAAAATAAAGAACGAGATAAAAATGAAAATCAAACCAAGCCAAAGGATTCGAACACAATAAAAATAAAGGCTTAAAATAAAGGCTAAAAATAAAGAATAAAAATAGAACTCGGACCAAAGCTCAAACTAAAATAAGCCCCGAGCGATCCAAATGGGGGAGAAAAAGGGATTAAAAATGACGATAAACGCTCAGGCCGGTACAAAACCGGAGGCTCCGGTCGCTGCCGGCCCCCGGCGGAGGGGCAGGAGCGCGGTCACCGGCGGCGGGGGGGGTCGCTCCGGGATGGGGGGTGCGGAGGGGGGTGCTTCTGTCGCGGGTGCTTTGCGGCGTCTCCGGCTGGAGGGTCCCGTTCCTGTTCCCGTTCCGGTTCCCGTCGCGATTCCTTCCCGCATCCGCGATCAGCAGCCGCTGGCTCCGGTTCTCCCGGGCGGGGCGGCGGCGGCGGCCCCGGGGCCGGCGGGCATCGTGCTCCGGTGCTGGCGACTGCGGGGCCCGGTGCGGGGCTCGGGGCCGGGTTCGGGGCCGGGCTCGATGCGGGGCTCGGTGCGGTGCCCGGTGCGATGCCCGGTGCCGGTATCTGTGCGGGGCCCGGTGCCGGGTTCAGTGCTGGTCTCGGTGCCGGTGTCGATGCCGGGATCTGTGTGGGGCTCGGTGCGGTGCCCGATGCGGAGCTGGGTGCGGGGCTCGGTGCAGAGCTCAATGCCGGGCTCGGTGCGGGGCTCGGTGCGGGGCTCGATACCGGTATCGGTGCCGGGCTCGGTGCGGGGCTCGGTGCGGGGCTCGGTGCGGGCGGGAGCCGCGCAGGCGGCTGGCTCATCCTTTTGTCCTTCAACGGCAACGCGGCTGCTGACGCATCGCGCCGGGAGCCCGGGAGCGGCGGGGGATGCTCCGCAAGCACCGATGGACTACACCCCCCCCCTTACCCCGCATCTACCGGGACCCCCCCCCTCCCACCACCCCCCACCCCCCCACAACGTTCTGGAGGGGGCCCCGACCGGCCCCGGTGCAGCCGGTGCGGCGGGTGGGAGCTATTTTCCACTCTGGATGGAGGATGATGCGGGATGATGGGCTTCCTCCTCCCTCCTCCTTCTGCCCACCCAACCGAGCCCGGTGGCCCTGACCCCCCTCGGACACAAGGACCGATGGACGGATGCACGGAGCCGGCAGCTTTAAGGTGATGGGAGGGTGGGGGAGACACAGACACGCGGCTCCATCCGTGGCAAACCGCCCTCCCCCCCCCCAATCCTCCCTCGGTCCCTGACACACACACCCCACATCCCCCCCCGCCATCCCTGGACCCTCCTTTTCCACCGGGCTCAAGGCTGAGACCAGATGCAAGCTGGGACACCAATGGAGGGGACAATAAATGGGGGAGAGGGGGGGAACGGCTCTGCCATGGGCACAATGCTGCAGTGATGGGCATGTGGGTACCGATGAATGGGGGGGGGGGTTGACACTGCTTTGACCGTCCTCCCCCAGGCACTGTGGGGTGGGTGATTAGTGCTGGGCAGTTAATGAACCTCTAGGGCCCCCAGGGTCCCATGGGTGCTGCAAGGTGGGGGCAGTCTGAGGTGCTGGGGGGGGTGCTGCCCACCCCCCACACCCCCCCCAAGCTAGGAGTGAGGGAGGGGATAGGGAGATGATGGAGGTATCCCAGAAGTGGGGCTCAGACCCCCCCAGGAGTGGGTTGGGACCCACCTGGGACTGGGGCTGAGACCTCCCAGAGCAGGGATGGGACCGTCCGGCAGTGCTGGCAGGAGCTGCTCCATGCATTTGGGCGCCTGTGGGTGCTCTCCAAGGGGCTTTATGTGGGCCCAAGTGCGGCCCCTGGCCCTAGACTTCATGAGGGGACACTTGTGGGGTGGGAGGCAGGAGAGGGGTCACCCACTGGGGTGCTAGGCATGGCTGGGTCTGGGTGCTTCAGCTGCAGCATGTTCTGCCTGCATCTCTTGCCTGCATCTCCTGTCTGTATGGCATCTCCTGCCTGCACAGCGTCTCCTGCCTGCACAGCATCTCCTGCCTGCACAGTATCTCCTGCTTGCATGGCATCTACTGCCTGCATAGTGTCTCTTGCCTGCATCTCCTGCTTTTATCCTCTGCCTGTACAGCATCTCCTGCCTGCATGGCATCTACTGCCTGCACAGCATCTCCTGCCTGCGTCTTCTGCTTTTGTACAGCATCTCCTGCCTGCATGGCATCTCCTGCCTGCACAGCATCTCCTGCCTGCATCTCCTGCTTTTATCCTCTGCCTGTACAGCATCTCCTGCCTGTATGGCTATCTCCTGCCTGCACGCCATCTCCTGCCTGGACAGCATCTACTGCCTGTACAGCATCTCCTGCCTTCATCCTCTGCCTCTACAGCATCGCCTGCCTGCATTTCCTGCCTTCATCCTCTGCCTTTACAGTATCTCCTGCCTGTGTGTGTCTCCTGCCTGCCCACCCCTGAAGCACTGGGGGGCTGTAGGCCCCCAGGTTTAATGGGGGTGCACCCAGGCCACTCCAGTTTGCGCTCACTGGCTTTGCACACTCCAGTTTAGTCTCTGGTTTGTGCACTCCCTTTTACATACTGGTTCACCCTCTGGGCTGCACCCCAGTTTGCTCACTGGTTTGCACCTCCACTGTGCCAGGGGGGCCAGGTGGGCTCCTGACCCTTTCCCTGGTGCAGAGCCACAGGACCAGGACATGGCACAGGCATAAGAGCCACCATGGCCCTTGGTCACGCCTTCGATCCTAGGTTCTGCCCAGCACTCCCAGTGCTACCCAGTGCTCCCAATGCTACCTCATGTTCCCAGTGCTCCCAGTGCTGCCCAGTGCTACCTGGTGCTCCCAGTGCTACCCAGGGCTCCCCAGTGCTACCCAGTGCTCCCAATGCTACTTGATGTTCCCAGTGCTCCCAGTGCTGCCCAGTGCTACCTGGTGCTCCCAGTGCTACCTAGGGCTCCCCAGTGCTCCCAGTGCTGCCAGTGCTGCCAGTGCTGCCCAGCGCAGGCAGGGAGCTCCAGACACAGAGGCTGGGGTGTTCCTGCCCTCAGCTGGGTGCCTAGGAACACATCTGAGTACTCTTATGGAGCACATCTGAGCAGATGGAGCACATCTGGGTGCTGGTGGATTGGAGCTGCGTGCCCAGGAGCAGAGCTGGGTGCTGATGGAGCCAGTCTGGGTGCTCATGAATCACACCCAGGTGCTGATGGCTTGGAGCTGGGTGCCCTGGAGCACCTCTGGGTGCCATGGATCAGATGAGGGTGCTCATGGCGCACATCTGAGGCTTACATGCCATGGATCAGACATGGGTGCTGATGGAGGGTGGCTTTTGGCCAGGCACCCACCCAGCACATGTCAAGCCCCATTATATCCATCCATTGCTTCATCAACGCAGGTTGGAGCCTCCGTGATGAAGAGGAGTGCGTGCGGCCAAAGGCTGGTGGGGATGGGTGGTGGCTGGGTCCCAGCCAGCGCTGAGGGTGCCCCTTGGCCTCCCACAGGTTGAGGTGGAGGTGGAGAGCATGGACAAGGCCGGGAACTTCATCGGGTGGCTGCACACGGAGGGGCTGAACCTGTCGGTGGCGCTCGTGGAGCACGCGCTCTCCAAGGTGCACTTCACTGCCGAGCGCAGCCCCTACTACAAGGCACTGCTGGCGGCAGAGGAGGCCGCCAAGCAGAAGAAGGAGAAGGTGAGCATGGGGTGGGCGCATCCCCGGGGCTGTCACCAACACCAGGGGTGTTCCTAGGCCAAGGGATGTTCCTACCCCAAGAGGTGTCCCCACCCCAAGGGCTGCCCCCAGTCCAAGAGGAGATGTCCCCATGCCAAAGGACATTCCCATCCCAAGGGATGTCTCCACCCCAAGGGATGTCCTGTTTTCAAGAGATGTCCCCATGACAAGAGGTGTCCCACCTCTAAGAGTCCCCACCCCAAGGGTTGTCCCCGTGACAAGGAATGTCCCCACCCCAAGAGATATCTCCAACCCATGGAACATTCCCACCCCAGTGTATGTCCCCATGCCACTAGATGACACCATGCTAAAAGATGTCTGCACCGCAAGGGACATTCCCACCCCAAGGGTTGTGCTCACCCCAAGGAATGTCCCTGTGCCAAGGGATGTCCCTACCCCAAGAGATGTCCTCACCCCATGTCTAAGAGTTGTCCTCGCCCCAAGGGGTGTCCCCATACCAAGAGATGTCCCAACCCTAAGGGATGTTCCCCCCAGGAGTTGTCCTCACCCCAAGGAATGTCTTTACCCCAAGAGATGTCCCCTACCCCATGAGACATCCTTACCCCAAGTGATGTCCCCATGCCAGGTGTTGTCCCCACCATTGGCACACAGGATCCTGGATGCCACCACATCCATCATCCCCATGCCAGTGGCATCAACCGTGCCCATGGTGTCCCCAACCACTGTGTGTGTCCCCATTGCCAGGTGTGGTCCCACTACGAGGAGGCGCCGGTGGAGGAGGTGGTGCCAGTGCTGGAGGAGAAGGAGCGCACAGCCAACTACAAACCCGTGTTCGTGACGGAGATCACGGATGACCTCCACTTCTATGTGCAGGACGTGGAGACGGGTACGGGCACGGCCTTGGGTCCCCATCACCCCCTGCAGTGCCCAAATGTGCCCCTGACCTTAAACCTCAGCCCTGCACCGAGGCTTCCACCTCTTGGCCCTGGGTCCCAATCTTGAGCCCT